AATGTAATACTAGTATTGAGTCAGGTCAATGATATCGACTAGTTGACAGTTGACCCCTTCAAGCGCCAGACGGTAGTGGACTAGCGACATTGAGCATGGCAAGCATCAATGGCACATGGTTCGCCTGAACATGTGCTGGACGGGGCAAACTGGCTTCGTGCAATGTTCAAAAACTCTGGGGGAAGGCAGCATCGGGTGACCATTGCTTAATTGGTTCATGGGTTATTGGCTGGCCTTCCCCGCTGGCTGCGTCCGCAAGGAAGGAGCAGCCCACACAAGGTGCCCACTTTCTATCCCGTCTGAGACTCCAGAGTCCAGATTCCTTGCATCACATCTTCACCTCAACCGAAGTTCCCCTTCGTCCGAGGGGCACACAAACGGCACTCCAAAGGTCTCTTGCGGCAGCTCCGATGCCCCGTCTCCATTCCTACGGGGGCGATACCATCACTGTTTTACCTTGCCCATCCTTGCCGAAGAACTGTGTGATGCAGGCATACTAATAATTCCCTAGCAACGTAGGGCAGGTGAGGAGGGACAGGACAGGGCAATACTACGTTGCGGTCCATCATATTTGACCATCATCCATGTTGCATGTGAGTGAAATATCAGCTGCACCATCTCCATCATCACCAAGACACCCTCGACATGAGCAACACCGTCAACCAGCCGCTCTTCGCACCCCTCCGCTGACACCCGTCCATCTATTCGCCAGTACATGCGAGCAGTTAGGCCTGACGTTTGACACCTTTGTTTGCTCCCACGCCCGTCATTTTATACGGGTTCATGTGCCTTGCGCGCCCGGCTGCACCACACGCAACACAGGCAAACTCCTGCCTCCTTCTCTGCCTCATCAGCTAACAGACCAACGACTTACATAGGCTCCGGGGCAAGGGACTTCTTTTGTTTTTCTCTAGCAAGAACCTTGAGTTGGCCCATCGGTCACCCCTGTCAGCCACTTTGACGACGACATTCTGGTGACACCTCGCAACCGACCACGTACAGTAAGTAGTGGTTCACATGAATCTGTTTTGCCTCACATCTCTGGGCTTTGCGTTTTTAATTTATTTCAGCATTGGAATTTCCAGATGTTTTGAAAACTATAAAAATCACTCCACACATCATGCATCCCTTGTTTTCTGCTTGCCAGCGCGCCCACAGCAACGCACGTCATGCTTGCTGGTCCTTGGCCCACACCAGAATCTGCGGCTCCGGACATACGGAAGACAGCACTGAGCCCAAGATTGTTGCTAGTAGCATCAATCATCCTGAATAATTCCCGCTGGGCGCCTTAGCTCTACGCCTAGGCCCCTATAAACCTTTCCCCGGCCTCCACAAGCCTTTCGTACCTGGTCTGGGAGTCTCCAGTCCTCCGATCGGCCCGCATATTCGAGTGATAAGAGATCATACTTCTTTCGGTATCCGCACCGAAGCCGATGCTGCAAATTCGTTAATAACCATTGCACAATTACAATTTTACATTGGTGCCCGTATCCCGGTTGGATGCGGGGATCCATGTTCCTTGACTTGCTGGCTACCGGCTTCTTCCTCGTTCATACTACATGCATGTCCACGTTGTTCCGTTTCATGGACTTGTATATGAGTTCCCTGCCCTCCCACTCCTGGCCATCACTTTTCTCTTTTCCTCATTAGACCTTGTTTTCTCATCACTACTATAACTCTACCCGAGTTAATACTCATTCTTCGCATTTCTCCATGTCTCAAGCGTGATATGCCATCCTACTATCTCCAGGACTGTCACTACTTCTACCGCACTGCCTTACGCGGCCTCAACATTAGCACCAGTGTTTCACCGCTCTACTCTTAAGCGAAAGGCAGTACTGTAACTGACACATCATGACCGCCAAAGTAAAGAGGGTCTTCAGCCCACCGAACTCTTTGGCAGAGAGGCTGGCCGAGCCTCTTCTCGACCCTACCATACCTCGCAAGCTCCCGGAGTCACCCCCGTCCCTCGCAGCTCAGCTGCCTTTGAACTGGTCAGCCGCTTACACAAGAATGCCTATGGATAGCAACGGGGAGAGCCATCGTGATGGTGGCATTACCTTTGCGGCTCAGGACAAGCTTCCCAAGCTTCCTATTCCTAACCTCTCTAGTACTTGCGATAAGTACTTGGAAGCTTTGCGGCCGCTTCAAACGCCTAGGGAACGAGCAGAGACGGAACATGCCGTAAGAGATTTTCTCTCAACTGATGGGCCAGAGCTACAGGAGAAGCTACAAAGATACGCTCAGGGTAAAACGAGTTACATTGAGCAATTTTGTAAGTGACGACAGTAGAGATATTCGAATCAACGCACATTTCATGTGTGTGCATCGGGCGCCGTTTTCTGATTCGATCATAGGGTACGATTCATACCTAAATTTCGACAATCCTGTGGTGCTCAACTTGAATCCCTTCTTTCTTCTTGAAGATGATCCGACACCAGCACGCAACAACCAAGTCACCCGGGCCGCGTCCTTAGTGGTATCGGCCCTCGAATTCATCCGAGCAGTTCGCAAGGAAGAACTTCCACCGGATACAATCAAAGGCAAACCCCTATGCATGTATCAGTTCTCACGACTTTTTGGAACAGCCCGAGTCCCGACCGAGAATGGGTGCCAAATTGTCCAAGATCCCGAGGCCAAACATATTATTGTCATTTGCCATGGCCAGATCTACTGGTTTGATGTTCTTGATGATAACTCGGACGTGATCATGACAGAGAAGGACATTGCCGTCAACTTGCAAACTATCACGGAAGATGCTGCACAAACTCCTATCCAGGAGGCTGCCAAGGGTGCATTGGGTGTGCTCAGCACAGAGAACCGCAAAATCTGGTCTGGTCTGAGAGACGTCCTAACAAAAGATCATGGGTCAAACAATGCCGACTGTCTGAATATCGTAGACTCGGCTTTGTTTGCCCTCTGTCTAGACTACACGGAACCCGCTGATGTTGCTGCCCTGTGCCAGAACATGCTCTGCGGTACTAGTGAAGTGAAGAATGGCGTGCAGATTGGCACTTGCACCAACCGCTGGTACGATAAGTTGCAAATTATTGTGTGTAAAAATGGAAGCGCCGGTATCAACTTTGAACACACTGGGGTCGACGGTCACACAGTTCTACGATTTGCTAGTGACGTATATACAGACACCATTCTACGATTTGCCCGCACCATCAACGGGCAAGCTCCCACCCTTTGGACATCAACCAGTCCCGATCCCTCCAAACGAGACCCTGAAAGCTTTGGAGATGTTAACACCACTCCCCGCAAGTTAGAGTGGGATATGATTCCCGAGTTAAGCATTGCAGTGCGCTTTGCCGAGACGAGGCTAGCAGATCTCATTGAGCAGAACGAATTCCAGTGCCTCGACTTCAGCTCTTACGGCAAAAACTTTATTACCTCCATGGGATTTTCACCCGATGCGTTTGTCCAAATGGCCTTCCAGGCAGCCTACTACGGTCTCTACGGCCGCGTCGAGAGCACGTACGAACCAGCAATGACAAAATTCTATCTCCACGGCCGTACGGAAGCGGTTCGCACTGTTTCTCAAGATTCAGTCAACTTCGTACAGTCCTTCTGGGCAGATAATCCTATCGAACAAAAAATTGAAGCTTTGAAAAAGGCCTGCCAGAAACATGTCAGTCGCACAAGAGAGTGCCTCAAGGCCGAGGGTTGCGATCGCCACTTATATGCCCTCTTTTGTGTATGGCAGAAATTTGTCAATGACGAAATTGAGAGTGGTATGAGCAGCATTGGTCAATCTAGCCCAACAGACGGCTATTCACCTGTCGGGAGCCCCGGGGGAGATTCGTCAGGATCGATGGATCAAGTTGTCGAAGTCAAGCCCAACAGGGAGCGTGGCAATAGCACAAACTCTAGATCACGAGATGCTCACCCGTTGCCCTTCATTTTCGCTGATGGCGGTTGGGACAAACTAAACACTACCGTTCTATCCACTTCAAATTGCGGCAATCCTTCCCTTCGTCAATTTGGCTTTGGTCCAACCTCTGGTGACGGATTTGGAATAGGATACATCATCAAAGACGACAGCATTTCTATTTGTGTATCCAGCAAGCACCGCCAGACGAAGCGCTTCGTCGACACCTTGGAAAGCTACCTTCTCGAAATCAGACGCATTCTGAGAATTACCAACCGCAAGAGCTCAACTGCAAAATCCAGCCGCGCACGAGAAGCAGAGGCCTCTAGACCAAAGCAAATGAGTAGACTCAAGTCGCGCGGGAGACTGATTGCCACTGACAGTGCGGGAAGGGGTCCTTCCAGACCAGAATCAACGAGTCAAACGGAGGAGAGTCCCATTGTCAGCGATGATGACGAGTTGGGCGGATGTAAGTTCCCGTTTCCACATGCAGATTTCTTGACATGAGACGCTAACGTTTGAAGACGGCTTCTTTGATGCCGGCATGTTATTGCAAGCTTTGAAAGCGAGAGACAGGGCGGCAGATCCGGTAGAGAGCGCTAAGGCTTCGGAGAGGGCGGCAGTGCAGGCAAGGAGAAGGGATGTAGGTAAGAAGTTGAGATTGACGACGGAATAGGGAATTGTATGGGTTGATGTTTCCGAGTACTTGTATTGGATATTCCTGTGGTTGTGCCAGATGAATAGAAATGAGCGCAAACTCGCGAGTTACGAACATTTTGTCAGTGAAAGCTATTGTCGCGTTGTCAGTCTATGGTCCGACACTACCTAGTGGTTTAGACGTATACGAATGCCACAAATAACTTGCACATATTATCACAGCAAATCGTTGAGACTTTACTAGAACTACTTGCGAGCGCTTGAAATTTCTTTCCATCTCCTCCTACCTAATCATGAGAATTTGATGTGGATATGTATATAGACATGCGAATAAATTTAAATTATGCCAAAAAGAAATCTTCCTAAACTCCAATCCAGTAAGTACATTAATGCCCCTGTAAACATAACCAATCAACAAAAACCCTACTATCCTTTGCTTTGTGTTCGCTTTTATCCTCGTCAATCAAGATTATGCCAATTCATGCATATGACCGCGATGATTCTCACCAGTCTGGGCAGGGACTTCGTGCACAACTCCCTGGGGCTGCGACTGCGGCTCCGGCTGCGGCTGCGGCTGTGGTTGCGATTGAGGTTGAGTCTGACTCTGAGGATGTCCTTGAATAGGCGGTGTGCCACCCATGGGTTGGAAACCCGCTGGCTGCTGCTGAACCGGCGGCGTTGTTCCGTACGAGTTTGTCCAAGTCGGTGCTGGACTCGTAGTCAAATGGCTCATTCGTGGGTCCGTCATCTGTGATTGCGTCGGTGAGCTGGGATCGACGCCGCCGCCAGGGGAGTAATAGCCGACAGGAGGCGAAGGCGTGTTCTGAGGGTACGGCTTCTGGGGAGGATATCCCTGAGGCAGAGGAGGACCGCCGTAGTAGGATTGTGCCATGGGGGCGCCGGGAGTAGCGTTTGGTGGCATGGGGGAATGGTCGGTCGTCGAAGTGGTTTGCGACTTGCCGCTATTCTTCTTGTTCCTGCGGAGGAAAAATACAAGCGCGAGAAGACCGATGGCGATGGCGGCCACACCACCGACCACACCACCCACGATGGCACCAACGGGGGTCTTGCTGCCGCTGTCGCCTCCTCCGCCGCCGCTGCTGTTGTTACCATTGTTTCCAGTTTGAGTAGCTGAAGCTGATGCACTGGCGTCTGCCCCCGTGGCGGTTGGGACACCGAGGGTGGCAGTGCTGGGAAGTGTGCTGGAAAAGGTCTGGACAAAGCGAGAGTAGCTTCTGACTTCAGTTTGCCCAACGTAGGTGGTGTAGGCACCCTGAGCTGTTGAGTAGCTGACTGAGTTGCACCAGTAGTCGGTGATATTGCCAGGGAAGGCAACTGTATTGCAGTAGGGGTAAACCTTGTTCGTGCTGTTTGTTCTAGTGTCAGACATGGACACAGTAATATCATGATGATGGGTTCACATAGCCCGCACATACAGCCATGTGTTGGACTGAAAGTGCTACTGAGTGTAGAGAACTTACCACTTGACAATCTGTGTGTTTTCGGCACACAGATGATCGCAGGAGCTTGACTGGTACATGTTGTAATCGACACATGCGAATCTGAAGTTGAATGCAACGCTATTATAGCACATGATCATTCCTGAGAAAGTTTTCTGAGCCTGCACGAGGCCGCAAGTAGCGCCAAGGCCACAGCTATATGGAACAGCGTAGCTGCCAGAGATCCAACCACAGGTATTGTCCGGGGCGATCATCATGGTCAGCGGCGTCTGAGTCGAGGTGGCTCTCCCGAACAAATGTTTGGGCTCGAATCTATCCCAACCAGGCGGGGGAGTAGGTCTTGGAGACATTCCATCGTCGGCCAGAGCAACAGAGGCCGTGGCTCTGGCTTGTTTGGGAACCAGATTTCGAGCCTCAACGCCTGCTGAGAGGGCCACAAAGGCACTTATCAAGGCCGAATTTGCCTTCATGATGGCTAGCTGTCGCCCTGTGCGAGAGGGTTGAAATCGTGTAGGAGAATCGAACCCGCTAGAGACTCTGGCAGCGAAGCCGCAACAACCACTTACTCCAACGACAATTACAATGAAAGGGGGGAAACACAGTCGAAGAAGGATTCCTTTTCTCACTGACAGACAGAATGAGGCTGGCGCAACCAACAGTTTTTATTTAATTGAGCTGCGAGTAGGGGCTCGTGGCCCATGGACCTTTTCCTGGCACCATGCTTCCGATGTGACAGAAATAGTATTCCTGTGAAGATGAATATTGGCAGAGCCTCTCCGTCTGGGCTGCCTGGCGCTCGACAGCCGCAGCAAGCCCCCTCCCCGGGTGCAGGTCGTGTCATGTCAGCCTTAAACTAGTGCTTGTTGGAGTTGTGAAGTTGCATGGGGCTCGAGGTTGAAAGGAGCCATTGGCGGCGCTGCGCCTGACTGTGGCTTGCAGAAGCTGAATGCGAAATGGACCACGTCGCACGCTGAGACCAAGTCGCTAATTGCCTCTTGATGCGCCCATGTTGGGAAGCGGTCTGTCTATTTGCTGGACTTTGTTCCACGCCCGTTGTCTGCCCAGTGCGCTGTCCATGACGAGGAGAAAATACTGTATGCGGCCCGTTGAGCAACGCGTTCGTTCAACACGGAACCAGCTTGGGCTTGAAAGGCAACCTATTTTCCACGCCTGCGCAATCGCGGACCAATGTTACGGCGTCGGGGCCAATAGTTTGTAGCGTTGGCGCAGTGAGACATTCAGCCGGCCTGTGGCGAGTTTCTTCAGCTATTCCTCCTCCATTGCTGCTGTGTGACAAGCTTTGGCATGATCCTCGTCGTCATGGAGCATGGAAACGGTTCCTCGTGTCGAGCAAGGGGGGCCGAGATTGCACGTGGAGAGTGTTCTGCGCCAGCAGCAGCTCTTTGAGATTGTATCGCCGCGTTCGATACGCCCATTCCCCAACAAAGCAGGCTTCGTCCATCTCAGGGCACCAGCGGCACAGCAGCAAGTCTGCGACTTAGCCGTACTCGGTACTGGTGAGCCAGGAGCAGGACTTTGTTGGATACCGCGAGACGCCTTGCCCGTTCGACTCTACGTGCAGAGCAAGTTGGCATCAATATCGAGGCATAGAGACCACAGCAGTGTGACATGTCCTCATCTTGCAGAAAAGGCATCGGTGTTGGTATGGGATTTCATCTGAAACCCATGATCGAGCTGTCACTAGCTTCGGCAATGTCGTCCTCGGACAGCGCACCCCAGGAAGAAGCATCACAGACTTTCCGGAGATTGATGGGACGAAAGCTGACTTGGTACATGGGGTAATACCAGCTGATCAGCACAGACTGGTGGCGGCCGGGTTGTCAGCATGACACGAGGGTCCAGGGGGTGTAGAAGATCCTAGCTCTTGAATGCTTTGGCCCGGAATGACTGACCAATCGAATGGTGTACGGAGTATTGTGAAGAAGAAACAATGCACATGTAGTAATTTAGACGTGAAACCCCACGTGGGTGATATCGTGGTATAGGGTAGATGGGTGGGATTGATTCGTTAGATTATCCATGTTTGCAAATTTGCTGGTGATGCCAAAGAATAGTACTAATACTAATAATAATAATAATAATAATAAGCGCTCTATTTTACCCTGTATATGTCAAGGAGTATATGAATCAATGAAAGTTGTTCATCCAACATGGCCAACATCTTGGTCTTGTTGGTCTGTACAATTTTATACGTGCAATTCATACTCGGGTTCTCGACAACGGAGGTGCAGGTTGGATGTGGGGTCGTCCTTGGGAACGACATTCACGTCACAACAGCTCCTTCACATGACTGCGACGCGTCTACTCCGTACAACACCCGCACATCTTGCAATTAGGCCTCTCCATCCACGCCAAACTGCAATGCCAAGATCGACATTCACATCTCATGTCAATCTCAACGCGCCCCTATCCTCGAGGCTAAGTTGCTGCGTCTCTTCCGTCAACCTTGAGTCTATCATGTTACACCGAGACTTCACCCGCGCATGTCCAACCTTCAGCATCAGACAAGGCTAAAGTCGACCCTGGACATTCTTCAGCTCTCATTTCTTCCCAATTATCCTCTTTCACAAGTCTCACTCATGACCGACCTTCTCCATATCCTCCCCTCCTTTCGTACTGCTCCCTTCGGGGCATTGCTCCCCATCATCGAGCAACACGCTCTTTCGACAACAGATCTTCTGGCTCTTCACCCTGCAGATATATCAAAACAAACGAACCTGCCGCTGCTAGATCTGAAACGGCTCATTGCCACAATCCAAGTCTCTCTATCAGACGATCTCGTACCACGCCACCCCCTACAACAAATCGTGAGCTCCGCGCCAGAACACGACCATTCTCACCATGAACAGCCCTCAGAATCAAACAGCCAAGATGCCAGTAAATCGCCAGCCATCCAACCCCAGAAAGGGAATCCCTCGTCGCCTTCATTCATAAGCACCCTTTGTCCTCAAATAGACGCCGCTCTCAACTCGGGCATCCCAACCTCATCCATCACAGAAATCACGGGCGAATCCGGGGCCGGCAAGACCCAATTCCTCCTGTCACTGTGCCTCGCCGTCCAACTCCCGCCACCCCATGGCCTCCGCAAGCAAGCCCTCTACATATCTACCGAATCAAGCCTCGCGACCAAACGCCTCTCTCAGATCCTCGCGTCAAATCCTCTCCTCCAGGATATTGACTTTGCGGACCGCCCGTCTCTGGACAACATCCTCAGCACAGTCACTCCAGATCTCGAATCACAAGACCACATCCTGGAGTACCAAGTCCCCGTGCTACTGTCAAGACACAACATAGGCCTACTAGTGATTGATTCCGTGGCCGCCAACTACCGAGCCGAGTTTGAAAGGGCCGGCTCCTCGTACGGCTCTAACATGGCCGCGCGCAGTGCCGAACTCGTCCGCCTGGGCGCGTTGCTGCGAGACTTGGCAAGGAGGCATGGCATCGCCGTCGTCGTAGCAAACCAGGTATCCGATCGCTTCTCCTCCTCGCCCGCGCCCCTGCCGCGGACCATGTCCTACAGGACTTCTGCTTCCGCGCAGGAAAGCCCCCTCGCGTCAAGAAGCATGCCGCCGCCGCCGCCGCAGTCTACGCTCGCCAGCACGCCGTCGTCCCCTTTGCCGTTCTCCTTCTCGGACGACGCGCCGCCCACACATCCTGCGTTGCGACTAGACCACCAGCAGCGTTGGTTTACAGGCTGGGGGGACGACCCGCGCTCGTCGCATTCCCTGAAAACACCAAGTTTGGGACTCGTCTGGTCCACGCAGATAGGATGCAGGATAGCATTGTTCAAGAGGCCCGTGTACGGACGGCCACGGCAGATTGCGGCACACATAGAGGCGGATGATGATGATAATATTGATAGGGGGGCTACACTGAGGAATTGGCGGAGGTGGATGAAGGTTGTGTTTGCGGGACATGTTGCCGCCTCGGGTCAAGGGGTGACGGGGGCCAAGGAGTTTGAGGTCACGACAGGTGGCATTGCATGTGTACCAGGGAAGAATGGATAGATGGTTGGATCGTGACTTTGATAGGACATATATATATATACATAATGTGACTTGGACACAGGGAATCGGAGCTCTTGCGCCCTACCAAGACTCAAAACACACATTACACTGGTCGAAAGGGGCACTTGACGTCAGGATATCCACGCTCATGTGAATCATGGTTACAAGTATGTCATTATTACAACCATTCACCATTTACCCAGAACCCATGTAAACGTTACAAGTCCCCTTCCCTCATCCCTCTCTACACCCATCAATGAGGATGGGGAAACTCATCTTCCAGCTGAAGACGCACACCGACATTCATGCTAATCAACTCCTGAACAAGAAGCTTCGCCGCGTACGGCATCTGCATCTGCGTGACTTGCCTCGTGCTCTTACAAGTATTACAGTAGCCCTTGTATCCAAAAAGACCGCACTGCTGGCAAATATCAAGTGTGACACCGTCCGAGCTCAACATGAGACGCTCCAGTAGGAGCTGCGAGGCGCCATACGCAATCAGGCAATCACGCTCCATTTCTCCGAGACGCAGCCCACCGTCCCGCGATCGACCTTCTGTAGGCTGCCTCGTCAAAATGGCCCTGGGCCCACGGGATCGCGAGTGCATCTTGTCTTGGACCATGTGCTTCAAACGCTGATAATAGATGGGGCCGTTGAAAATATATGCTTCCAGCGGCTCTCCGGTCAGACCTGACGTGAAGTAATCTTTGCCCTCCCAGGAGAAGCCGTAGTCGAGGAGCACCTGGCTCATGTCCTTGACTGGATGCGATCTAAATGCATCGCCGAAGCCGTAGTCTGGCCGGCCATCGATAATCGAAGCCTTGCCTGTTAAACATTCCAGCAGTTTACCCACCGTCATTCGAGACGGGAAACCGTGAGGGTTCATAATGATGTCTGGGCAAAGCCCATTGTCGGCAAATGGCATATCTTCCTGGTCCACGATAATACCAACGACACCCTTTTGGCCGTGGCGAGACGAAAATTTGTCTCCCAGCTCTGGACGACGCGTTTGGCGGGTTTGCACCTTGATGACAGTGGTATCCTTCTCTGTTTGAGAAATCATAACCTTGTCAATGTAGGCAGGATCGGGAATTCGATAGGAGATGGCAGAGTCCCGGTACTCGCTTGGTCCGCGATCGAGCCCAATGCCTGTCGTCGTCAGATCCAGGGGAGTTTCTTTCTTGACCATGACCTCTCCGCTCTTGACTCGGTAGCCAACAGTGGCTAGCCCGTCATCGTCCAGAGCCTCGTACTTTACCTCGCGGCGTGTCGTGCCGCCATTAACCTGATTGACTGGATCGCCGATACGCTCCCGCCTGCCATTCGGGTACTTCTGCAGCTCTGTAGTGTACTTGCGGAAGACTTGACAGCGTCCGAATCCCCTGTCGATTGAAGCTTTGTTTAAAACCAGGGCATCTTCAATATCGTACCCAGAGTACGAC